AGGGATGGAAGGCTTGGTTGGCTTAGGCGGATACGAGTATAACTGAATAGGCGATAAAAAGCGAGGCATTTTCTCCAATCTTTAGAATTCTCCGAAACGACGAGCTTCATTGATGTGAAGGTTGGAAGCCACTCATTAAAGGTGGCTTAATCCTAGATGGCTTCGTTATGCCCTCTCCCCTCTCCCTTCGTCCCATCCCTTATAAAAACAAGAAATAAAAATAATAGCATGAACGCACATTTGGCAGCAGCAATTTCAATGTGGTCGTTTGCCTTTGTAGGCAGCATAATGATCTCACTAATCTCACAGTTGGCTTCAAAATGATGTCATGTGGAAGTGGCGGAGGTAAGGAGTGAACCGGAAGGTAATTGAGAGCGAGGAAAAGGTGAGAAGAGTCTAGGTGCCAAATCGAAAATGAAGCGTGAGCAGCCGTGGAGAAGCTTGGACATCAAAGAAAAAGGATCTTATTTCAAGAGGAGAATAGCAAGACAAATGGCTCTTTTTTGGAAATTTCCAAGGATTCATTGGATCACTCAAGGGTTTAAAGTAAGACCTACAATTCTAATATTGCATACCTCCAATCTATAGCCTTGAAAAGTGAAGTGAACCTGAAGACTATTACTCGCAGTAATAGTATTCAGGTTCGCTCCCAGTAATCTGGTACAATAATTGTAAGAAAAGGAAGGGATTCGTGGGAGGGCCAAGGCAAAAGACACTGGAATATTTAGATATGCATCATCCCTCTGCCAGAACGATGTGAACTGAACAGAACGGAGTCAGAGCTGAACAAGGTCAGAACTTAAAGGCACAGTTCACGATGATTTTCAGGTACACTTCTGAATCTGAAAAGCGGAAAGTTGATATAGAGGAGTACATTGGTGGCGAAGGAAGTGAGGAAATCCGCCTACTTCAAGGTTTCTGAAAATAGTGGATGTGGAGGTTGTACGAGTTCACCGTGACGGTCATGGCATGTAAGGGGTGTTTGGACGACATTTAACTAGCTCCTATTGCTCAAGGAGATGACTACAACATGCCGAAATTGTCGGAAACTTCCTTTGACTGTCGCCATGGGTTATGACAAGTTGTTTGAACTTCCTACATGGGAGTCTTTTGAGTTAGTGCGGCATTCACTCGATACAATCTCTGGCCCCTTATTGTGCCCTATACATGACGTTTTTCTACCTTATAATGGCAGGTGTGTGGTATAAAAGGAAGCCCCGAATTTACAATACTGCGTAATTTCAGCAACCATTTTTGCCGTCAACTATGACTTTCAAAGTGATTCAGCCTTCATTACCCCACACAAGTCTGGGTTCTAATGATGGACCGCGAAGGAATGGTAGCCTTGGTCGGCCTAAGCTAATATCGAAACCGTATGCGTTATTCTCTGTTCATGCGTGTGTGATAGTGACCACCTGCTACTATGAACGCCACCTCCGCTCATCGTCCACAGTCAGATGATGTTGATGCTATTGTAGCATTGAAGCCTCTCATATCCCACTGCTTAACGTGAACACCGCGACCATTCTCATAGATACCATTATGGTCCTGAAAAGGCATCTATGCTCTTCTAAGGCCAAAAGCCTTATCTCTACCTTCAGTAGTCTTCAGTTCATGGCTTCTTCGGAGCTATACGTAGAAGACTGCCATTTATATCTCAACTAGGAACTATTAGAGATTTTGAAGCCCCACTTGAAGCGTTGTGAGCCAAATATTGCCTAGTCAAGGATTCCAGATTGGAATTACGTTTTACTCCTTCGTCGGTTCGTTTCCGATAATCCGGTGCCAAGTAGTCCCTACAAATCAGGAAGACCTTCAACAAGGAAGTGATACGCTGGTCACACCATCACCTATTTCTTTGCGTGGAACAGAAGGGAATGAAAATAAGAGGCACTCGATTTCCAATCATTCTGTAGCGCGCTACTGCTCTCATCATATTGCAGCTTCTCATGCAAAGAGCGTTGTACCGGAACTATGAGGATGTGCGTTCGGGAAGAGCTGCATACACTTTATACACTTTATTACGGAATCAATTCATATTCGAATGCCGTATCATGGCCTCATTGAACTGTTCCTTCGTCATACTCCACCACGTTTTTCCAATCTTCTTCAACAATTCATCACGCCATC